GAAAGAAAAATCAGCAAGTAGTTAGTTAAATAGTGGTCCCCAAAATATATGTTCAACTCCAAATCCCTGGTACCTGTGAAGTTGACATTATTTAGAAACAGAGCCTTTGAAGATGTAATTAAGGGTCTTCAAATGAGATCATGCTGGATTTAAGATGGGCCCTAAATCTAGTGACATGGGTCCCTGTAAGAGACAGATTTGAAACAAAGACACAGAGGAGAACGCCATGTAAAGATGGAGGCAGAAATTGAAGTGATGCATCTACAAGTCAAGGAACACCACAGATGACCTGCAATCACCAGAATCCAGAAAGGAGGCATGGAATGGATTCTCCTGCAGAGCATCCAAAAGGTACCAACCCTTCCAACACCTTGATTTTGGACTGCTGGCTTCCAGAACTGGGAGAGAACAAATTTCTGTTGTTTTAAGCCACCCACCTTATATTAATTTGTTATAGCAGCTACAAGAATCTAACACACAACGGTATAACAGGAGTGGACCAGAAGGCTTATTTTGGCACTGTGGTGCTCTAGTCATCTATGGCAGCATTGCTAGCCATTCCAGAACTCTAGGACGATGTTTCTCAACCTTTTGAAAATGAAATCATCTTGGTAAACAGAAGAATCTCAGTAGCAGAGTTCCACCCAGGTCCTCCACCAAAAACAAAACACCCTTGAGAATCAGTGCCCTGAAGAAAGTTGAGTTGATATAGGAAGAGTCAGCCCCTCCTAGCTGTCTACTCCCTTCTTGTGTAAGCATATGAGTGAGGGCTTGGGGAGGGGCTTTGAAGAGGGGCTAAAAATCCATTTTCCATTTTCAAGGTAGGTTCATGAAAGAGATCAAAAGCTTGTCTTTCTGGAGAAGAAAAATATGTTCCTTTGACTACATTCCAAGACACCGGAAGTAGCAGAAATCAAATATACCCCTAGGACTTCTTGAAAAGTCATAGAATGCCTCAACCTGATAATTCCTCAGACTTTATTAATTCATAATATTGTGTTCCATCAAGATCATCACTTTTTATTATCTTGCTGCTCTGAATTGAATACCCCTTATTATTCTCATCTACAGGGGCCATAAATTAAAATTATGTAGAATTTATAATCTTACAGTTCATTATCTATGATTGGTATTCTCTCACTGCTTTTTTCTGGACCTTCTATATCCCCTGACAAGAAATATGGCAATGGAGTCTAAATACCATCTAACCAATAAATGTTGAGCTAAAAAAAACGTTAGTAACTATACTAGCCTAAAGGGCACCCATCACTCCTCCTTATCTCCACTACCAGCATACCTTTCTGCCAAAAAGACAGAGGAAGTGAGATCCTAAAGCGTTGGGAGTTAGAACTGGAATGTAGGTCCTTGTTTTGCCATTGTGCAGATTGGGCATGTCACCCGTCACCTTTATCTCTTTCTCTGAAGGTCAAGGGACGCTATGATATACACCAGCCTGCTTCGTGAGGAACAGCCCTGCTTCAAGGAACAGGTAGTGATGTAATTAGTTGACTCAAAAAGGAATGTGAGGCCCATTACTGAAAGCTCTGAATGCCTCTCAGTGACATTCCAGAAGTGGCCCTATGACCTGGGAGGCAGGTCCCTTGTTTCTAAGACTGATCAAGGATGTGTGAGTATAGACTCCCCTGTTAGACCCCAGGGAAAATAAACACAAGTTTCTAACAGTGGTGAGATCTCCACAAGTTATGTTTGGATATGTTTGTTCACTAAAGATTTTGATGAAATAGACTGGTGTAGCCAAAGTGACATTTGTCATGGCTATTCACATCATTGTCTTTAGTGATGTGACATACTATCATGTCTGAAAGAGCAATGATATTTCAGAGAGATAGAAGTTGGCAAAAATCACTAAAAGAAAATGAATATCCCAATCTTGATTGATTCATCTAATTGGAAAAGGTTCACATTCAGTACATGCCCTGGTTCTTGGGATCCAGTTTTATAAAAACATAAAGGCATTGATAGATCTCCACATTGATAAGTGATTGTCCTTCCCTCCACTCCTTCTTCCTTTCTTTTTTTCTCACAGTACTCAGTGTAATATGAAGATGTCAGAGATCACAAGATAGAGGCTGGAGGAGGAGAAATAGGCAAAGAGTGGCAATGCATAAACTATTGGCATTGTTTTTTAAATTGTTTAAAAATTTTAAAAGCACCAGATTTCAAAGTTATAAAATCTGACTCCACAAAGTTTGTGTACCATGGATACTTACCTCTCTCTCCTGATCTCACTGAGTTGTGATTATAATTCAATAAAAACCCTACAGTAATGAAAAATGCATGTACTGCCAGGACTATTTCTGGAGCTGGGAACTGGGACCCAGAGATATCCCTAGTGGAGGCTGAATGGGAATAAGTCTGAAAAGGGGACTTACATCAAAAGTACAACATATATAACAATGCCTCAGAATCATCGGAGACACTTATAAAAACATAAATTTTCCAGAGTTCCATGGAAACTGAATCTGCAATGAAATACTGTTTTTCATCTACCACATGAACAAAAATGACAGTCTGACAATACCAGACACTGGTGAGGGTGTACAGTCCTAGGAAAGAATACTAACACATCACTATTGGGGGGTACAGCTTGGTGCCACCACTTTGGAAAATAGATTAGCATTACTCATTAGAATGGAAGCTGCACCCCATGACCCAGCAATCCCATTTCTAGATCTATGCTCTAGGAAAACTCTTAGACATGCTCATGCACGAAGGCATATACAAAAATGCTTACACTAGTGCTGCTGGCAACAGTAAAAACCTGGAAACAATCCAAATGTCTAATGAGAGTAGAAGAGATAGATTGTGAGATTTCCATGCAATGGATTAAAAACTAAATGAACCATAGTAACAAGCATCAAAATGGACAAACCACAAAATGACAGTATTATGCCATTTATATAACAGTTTGCAAACCTGGTCCATATGTTGTTTGGGGCTACATACATAAGTGGCAAAGCCATAAACAAAAGCAAACTTATGATGAACACAAAATACAGGGTAGTGTTTACCTCTGAGAAAGGAAGACATTTAAAAATATTTTTTAAAATTTATTGATTTGAGAGAGAGATTGATTTGTTGTTCTACTTATAGGAAGAGGATTTTTATCTAGGTGGGGGATAGATAGTAAAGGGATGGACAACATTCAAATTCCTACACTTGGTGGGGAGAACACAAGTGTTGATTTTACTGTAATCTTTAATCCATGCATATATGTTACATCTACATTTTTGCACATGCCAAATTTCATAATAAAAATTTGAAAACACACAGATTTCTAAACTCCATCTCAGATCGACTGAATCATAGTCTCGGCTATGGGGTCTGTGCAGTATTTTGTATAACTTCTCCAGAATATTTGGATGCACTATCAGGTTAAGAGCCACTCACCTACGTACAAACACACACCCCCTACCATACACATCAATATCCAGGTGAAAGCAGCTTAAAATATAAATCAAGGTCAGGCAATTTCCAGAGGCATAAAAAAAGAAAAGGTTAGCCCGGGAGAGTGTGTAGGAAAAAATGGTCTCTCCTCACAGGGTTCCAGGCTGATGAGGAAGCCTAAGAGCATTGTGCCACCTCCAAGGACCCCCCCCCCCCGCCCCGCCCACCCGAGAGCAGCATTTCTCAACCTGTGGGTTGCGACCCCTTTGGGGGCTGAATGACCCTTTCACAGGGGTCGCCTAAGACCATCGGGAAACACATATATAATTACATATTTTTTTGTGATTAATCACTATGCTTTAATTATGTTCAATTTGTAACAATGAAATTGGGGTCACCACAACATGAGGAACTGTATTAAAGGGTCGAGGCATTAGGAAGGTTGAGAACCACTGCCTTAGAGCTTACCTGAGCCCTATCCATTAGATTCCGAGTAAGATAATCACCCCCAGAAATGGGCCCAGTGCAGGCTCTTGCCATAACCTTTGCTACAAAGAAGAAACACAATGTGGCAGAAGTGTCTATGTCTAAGACACACCACAACAGACATCTAGACCTGGACCCACATGTACACGCTGTGCGATCTTTAGCAAGTCACTTGCTCTCTCTGAGCCTAGCTTTCTCACTTCCTTGTCTCCCTCATAATACTGGAATCCAGTGAGACAGTGTGGGTGAAAAGGCTTTGCAAACTGAAAGTACCATGTCAGTTATTATTTCTTCCTAAAAGCCAAATACATAGGCTGTCAATTCTGAGTCAGCAGTTATCTGGGTCCAAGGAATTAGGGGCTCTAAACTTTGCCATAGAGAGACCTGAAGGCAGGAGTAGGGCTTAGTGCCTCTACATCTTTCTCTGGAATCTCAGCAAATATTTAACAGGCACCCACTACTTCTCCGGTGCCTCCCTTTTCCAGTCCATGATAATTCAGAAGGGGATGTGCATAAACAGCTCTGGACTACCAGAAGCACCTTGAATGCTAATAGGTAGCCTGAATATTCATTAATGGTTTTGAAACTAACATTTAACCCATTTACACAATACCTTCCAAATTAGGATTGCCAGGTTTAGCAAATAAAAGTGCAGGGCACTGAATTAAATTTACAATTTTTAGTATAGAATAATTTTTAGAGTATAAATATGTCCCAAGTATTGCATGAAATATATGAAAAATAATTTGTTCCTCAAGTTTAACTGGGTGTCTTGTTTTTATCTGGCAACCTTGTTCCAAATGGACAAACAGATCAGCACTTTCTCCTACATCTTACATTGGGAAATCTGCATGAAAGAGAGTCATGAAATCCTGTCTCCATTACTTGGTAAGAGAGCAAAGGGTTGGACTGATCTTACAATTGGACTTGCATCCTCCCCCTCCTTGCATGGCTCAAGAAGACATGGAGAGGCACAGATATTAAAAGCAGGTTTCAAAGGAAATAGAGTAGAGCAGGGGTGGGGATGCCTTAACTTTTCAAACAGAAATTGACATTCCAGCTATCCTGGCCCACCCAGAACACTTGGCAGTGGCCTCTGCCCTTACCTCTGGGCATCTCCTTGGAATGCTCTGCCTCGGGCCCGTCCAGCAGGTCCATCTGGGAGGCCTCCTCCGAGGGGACACGGCGCCAGGACCAGCTCTGGTTCCCGAGGTCATGCAGTGGAGGGGAGTACTCCAGCTCACAGGGGAAGTCAAAGCTGCACTCCAGCCCTGCAATGACAGTGACAGCCAATGGTCAGTGGAGCAAACTGTTTCCCAAACATGACCATCCAGCCCTAGAGCCTTACTCCTGCATTCCAGGAAGTTGGCCTTTGTCACACACGCATCTTCACCCTATCCCCAGGTGGTAAGTTGTCAACTTCACAAGTGGCTGGCTCCATGTTGGTGAAAAGGGGGCTAAGAGAGAAAAAGGTGTTCTTTGTATGACTCAGATTATGGGAGGTGTCCTCAGAGATGGCAGGAAAACTAACAGGTGGGACCCTGAGAAGTTCTGCTTCCTAGGAGGTTACCTGGTGACATGGAGAGGACTGAGGTCAAGTGGGAAGCATCTGACTTTGCAATCAGATAGGTCTGGATCTAAGCCTGGCACTGCCACTGACCAGCTGGTCATCCCAGGAAATAAACTTAACATCTCTGGCCTCAAATTTCCATACCTACACATGGGGGATGATAATACCTACTTTGGAAGTTTTCTGTAAGAACTAGTGGATCTTGCATTACCTATCCTATGTGCATGAGCCTTGCCCATTGCTGAGGCCCAGGAAAAATCCTAGTCAGGTCCTGCCCTATCTGAGAAGAGAAAGTCAAAGGGAATGTAAATCTCACTCACAGCCTTTTTTGCCAGCTCTGTTGTCTACCCTTCAACCCCTCTCTAGAAAAGAGGGCCAAGGCTATGCCAGCTAATCCATGTTATTCTCTCTTGGGGTGGGAATGGGGTCGGTCACTGGGTAAGGAGAAAGAAGGAAGAGGGATGTTTTATGATCTTTTTCTGGGCTTCTTTGGGGGATAATCATCCTTGTGCCCAAATCATTCCATTTTTGCTCTACTTTTAGAATACACTCACCTTGTCTTTCCCTTCCTTACTCATTGTGCATTACCTAAAGAAGATGAAGTACTTTTAACCAGGTAGGCTCTCTAAGCTAGCTGATGCAACAACAGAACATGTACCAAAATGCAAAATATTCATCCACCTTTTACTTCATCATCTCCCCTCAGCATGGGGATGTGAAGAAAGAAATAACATGATACAAAGAATGAACCTCTGGAAATTTGGTGGTGTCCAGGCTTGGCCAGTCTCTTCCCATGTATGGAACTTTGTGCCCTCAACTGTAAAACAAGGGGTATAGACAAGATGATTATAGTCTAGCTCGGCCGCTGACTTGCTGGTTACCTTGAATAAGCCACTTACCCTCACTGGGCCTCAAGTTCCTCAAAAGGAGACCTAGACAAGCTGCTTTCTAAAGTCCATATTGATGTGACTTTTTAAAGGGTCCAAATCCTGGCTCTCAGAAGGGTTATAATTAATTGGATAAATAAATCTGTGATGGTGCTAATGGGTGCAAAGTCCCAGTTATCACTGTGTGTTTTAATAGCTGATTCTGGGCTATTGCTATCTTGTTCTCCAAGAAGGGTCTGCTGTTGAGAATTTCAGAATGCAGAGAAGTGGGGCTGATTCTAGTTGCAGGCAGCTGGTCACTAGATTTCCAGGTAGCTGGCCCTGTCCTGGAGGGGAGTAAAATGAATCCCATTGACATGGGCCAAACTAGGGGGAGAGGAAAATATCCTTCAATTACACTCCTATTAAGTACCTTTCTTCTTCTCAGCCAGTAGGGATTTATGTGCCAGCTGCTCTCCAGGAGCTGCCATTCTTCTGGTTCTAAGGTTAATACCACTCGCCCTTTCACGATTCAGGCAGTTCACCTTTATAATGGCAAAACTGAACAGGCCGAGCTAGCCTTGTCTGAGTTGACATGACACTTGCTGCCTACATATTTCATCAGCCTGGAAGACTTTCTACCTGCCTCTGGGGCTGAGCTGCTGCTATGAATTGGTATCCATGAATTGTAGACTGCTTTAATCTTCAAGACTTTCTCGCCAGGCACCTGGTTTTGATAGCAGAATGCAAGGAGAAAACTGATCCAACATTTTGTTCTCTGGGACACAAAAATGATCCTCATAATGAAAGGTATAGCCACTGAATGTGGCCCTTCTGGGAAGGTTCAAAAAGACCCAGCCACGTCAGGAAATGATCAAGTCAGAAGGCGGGAGAGGAAGTTACTGACCATCCCCAAACCACATTGACAATTATTGTACCTTTCTCAAAGCTTCAATTTCTGTGGCCCATCCTCTCTCTTATTTTTTTCTCCAATTAAAGTCATCCAACTTCTATTTGGGACAGAGGTGTGACATGCATTCTTAGACACTGCCTGGCAAATGTGCAATCCGTCATCAAGTACCATCAATCCTGGGATCTTGGGACTCTGAAGAGTCTAATAATTGGCTGTGTTTGGAGCAAACCCTGCCTAGTGAAACAGGCTACGCAGACTCTCCAATTACCAAATGGGTTCGTTTTGAAATTCTTGCTCCAAGGCAGCCTCGCTTTAGCTGTCAAAGCTGTGCTCTTTGGCTTTAAATAGAAGTGGAGTTAACATTACTGCTCATTTGGGGTGAAATTAAATTGGGCCTTCCTACATTCTGATTTAATTTCTCATAAAACATAAGGATGGGTTTCCTTTTCCTGAGCTAGCCTCAGTGCCTTTTGTACAATAATACCTGGGATGTGTCTTTTCTTAAAAAAACAACACAAGTCTCATTTTCCATGGGTCTTTTCTGAGGTTCTAGACCAGTGATGGCGGACCTATGACACGCGTGTCAGACGCCAACTCATTTTTTTGGGTTGATATTTCTTTGTTAAATGGCATTTAAATATATAAAATAAATATCAAAAATATAAATCTTTGTTTTACTATGGTTGCAAATATCAAAAAATTTCTATATGGACACAGCACCAAAGTTAGGGTTTTTCAAAATGCTGACACGCTGAGCTCAAAAGGTTCTCCATCACTGTTCTAGACCTACAGTGCTTCTTCAATCTCTCTCCTTAACCCTCCTCTAACTCAGTCCTTGTGGGATGGGGGGGTCTATTTTACAAATGGAAGTCAAAGGGATTAAGAGCTTCAGTGAAGTGTTTAGCCTTAAGTAGCCCAATGGCAGAGGAAGTCCCCACCCAAGGGAAGGGTTGGAAAATAACATTCACTGCGTCCCAGCTCTCTGCCAGAGACATGCTAGGTATTGTCTTATGTTACTATATTTAATCTGTAGAAGAACAATGAGAAGCGAATGTCCTGTCTCTACAGAGGAGAAAACCGAGGCTCAGAAAGATGATTCTACTTGCTCAAAGATCAAAGGACTTTCCTGAGGCAGAACCAGAATGTGACCCAGGGCTGGATAATGAAGACCCAGGCATGTTCCATCACACCTCCACAGCTTCAAAATCTCAACCCACTTAAAGCAGCAGCAGTGGAGATGATGAAGAGCTTGATGACGGATCAGGCATGTGGGATAAAAGAAAAGCTGAAAAAAAGAATGACTCAAGAAAGATCTCAATCCACTATTATATTTTGGTTATTGGACCCAAAATCTGCAACCTCTTCAGATCTGCAAAGTCTCCTCCACCCTAAGGGGACAGAGAGTTATTTCCTCTGTGTCGGACCCATTTTGCAAAGTGACTGTGATCTTCAGAAGAATCCAGAGATTTCAACCCTACTTGATGTACCTGTTAGGAACCAGGGGAATCTAATCATTGAAAAACACAATAAGAAAAAGACATGCTTTCCAGAACTTGCCAATCACATAGTTGAAATCACAATTACCCACCTTTTAGCCTCTCCCATCATGAAAGAAAAATAAGGTAATGGAATCTCCTGGAAACAGTTCACCTGCTGAGAGTCAAGTGCGGTGAAGGGAAAGGTCTTGGCAGGGCAGTGAGGATGTTCTGGGGTCGGGCTTGCAAACAGCAGCTAAGGGGCCTCAGGAGGTCTATTTCCCTCTCTATGTCTCATTTTGTGCATCTGAAAAATGAAAGGAATCGAGCATACACTCTCTACGGTGCCCTCCATCTCTGAAGGTCATTTATTTTAAAGGGCTCATTCTGGGCCAACACAACCAATCCTATAGACTGTCAGTCAGTCACGTTCACTCTATCTTCCTCTAAATCAGCGGTTCTCAACCTGTAGGTCGCGAGCCCTTTGGCGGTCGAACGACCTTTTCACAGGGGTCGCCTAAGACCATCCTGCATATCAGTTATTTACATTACGATTCATAACAGTAGCAACATTACAGTTATGAAGTAGCAACAAAAATAATTTTATGGAACTGTATTTAAAGGGCCAGAAGGTTGAGAACCACTGCTCTAAATGAAAGCTTGTTGCCATCCCTAGCAGCAGATTCCATGGAAGGAGGCTGAATGTGCATCATACTCAATAAGGATTCAGGTTATCTCAAAATTTACTCTCAAAGAATTAGGAAGGAAAGTTCAGATAAATTTTACAGATGACTGTTCCAGGTGAGTGTGTGTGTGTGTGTGTGTTTTCATGCATTCTTATCAGTTTGTACCTATAATGCATTCTTATCAGTTTGTACCTATATTCTGAACTGTTCCATTAGCAGTTAGCTTCAAGACATTGTCCTAATATAAAAGGCAGTCATTCAGAAGACAACTATGGTAACTGATCAGAAAACCCTGTGGTGAGCCTGCTCGGAGAGATGCCTAGTTCTCTTACCAAATTCCCTTGGCTGTAAGTAAGTTGGCAATGACCGCCCACTCTGACACTGAGTCTGAGGGTGGAAACCTAGCCTCTCGATATGTGTGAGACTATCAAAGTTGTCATGCCCAAGGCCTATGCCTAGCTACTCAGAAAGAGATGGGGTCTTCCCAGACTGAGCCACATAAAGAAGATTGCATGTAAGTTCCAGGCATAGTCCATAACACCATGGAAGGATAGTAGGGCAATATGGTGTACTTTGGACACTTAGATCTTCCCTTTGGTGGGCTCTGGAAACAGTTCTCCTTTGTTTCCAGACTGACCTCAGGCTCAAAAAAATCCCTTGAGTCAAGGCCTTTTGTGTCTTCTTGATCTTGACCCTGGAAACCCAGAGACCTCCCACTAGTTTCTTCATCACTTTAGTCAATTTCAATTAAGGGACAAGCAACCTCCTTTCATTTTTAAGACACTTGTTCAAAGGCTGACCAATTTTCAGATGACCACAGGGTGGCAGGGGCCTTAAGAGCAACTGCCCCGGGGCAGTCACAGGAATCCACTGGTTAATGTCACACAGACTCAACCCATAACAAGGTTTGGAAGCAAATGTTACAGAGTAA